GCGCGGATCGTGGGGTCCGTGAATAGAATCGACGAGAGAAGCGCGTGCGTCGGAGGCAAGGTCGAGACGAGGTAATCGTAGTGGTACACAAGGGTCGCGAGCAGCATGAGCAATACCATTCATGGTCGAGGAGTTGGCGAGGCCGGGAAAGACACAGGCAACTTGCGCTGCAATCATTGGGTTGTACTTGTCGTGAGGAAGCGCAACGGCAAAGTTGGCGCTGTTGATGAGTAGCCTAGACACGGCGCGTCCTACGAACTGGTCGCCAGCTTGCTCGTACTTGAATTAGCGCTCCATGACGTGGCCGAACGACCAGCCGCAACGCAAGCACACCGACACGACGGATGGCCCACCCGTGGACCCCGAGCGCTGTTGGCGGCATGCTCGTTTGGCTCATTGTACGCTCATTGGCAGAAACGCCGCCCTTTTCCTTCGTTTCTTCGGCCTGTGATTGGCCAAGAATTTTAGCGGACAAGCAGCCGCTGAATTCTCTTCACGCGTCGCTTATGCTCCATTCAAAATAATCAATACAAATATTGAGTCATTATATTCCTGAAGAGGAAAAATAAAAATCCATGAAAGAGAATTTGACGGCTCCCAGTCCGCTAAAATGTCCAGGCCACTGTGCAGCCCAGAGTGCTGTCCGTTAAAAGCATACTATTGTCATTATATTTGGCACCGTTTATTTTATTAGCTTATCCGGATCCGGTTCTCGAGCAGAAGCGAAAAGCAGTTTCACATGGCTACTTCGCTCAGGGGGAAAAAGGGCGCGGGGCCTGCATTACCGCTGCACCTCGGGTGAGGCGTGGCGGGTTGCTTAGCGGAGATCGAAAACTAGAACGCTAGGCTCTTCCGACCTGTCGTTGGTTTCGCTGAGCCGCCTTCTCTTGAAAAGACCGTTTCGACTCCTTGCAGGCGCGAAACACCCAAGATATCTGACTCCCTATTGTATCATGCAGAAGACGACAACCAGAGATGACACAACGTGTCTGTTAGGATTCTGATCCTATCGCGCTTAGGCTACGTCTGGATAGTGTGCAACGATCGTAGTTGCACCACGGGATTATCCAGTCTACACAGGGGGGGCCGCTTGAGCCGAGCGGTATGATTCTTGCTTCCACCTCCAGAGGTCGCCGGTTCGATTCCCGACGCGCCGATTTTTCTATCCGGACTCCCCCCATCCGGACACGAATGTCACTGAAGACGGTCACCATAATAAGGCAACGCTCGGCATGTGCAACAAAGAACACAAGGAAGAAGCGCGATGAAACGGCTCAATTAGTAGGGTTATACGTCAAATGCACCCGTCTGAAGTACCAGTCTACACAATGAACCCAATACACTTCACATTTTGCTCCTGAAGTCACAAGTCTCTGCCTTGCGCGCCTGTACGGACTCTCGCAGTTCCAACAGTGTCATCTCGCTGCACCAATGTGACATTGTTGCAGCCCACCAACTAACAATACGTTAGCCTCATCGAACAGGTGGCGTACACGGCATGTCTTAAAACGCAATTATACCGATTTTGACAACGTAACTTGTACTATTAAGAGTATGACATTGGAGAAATACGTCACCGAGCGTCGAAAAGAGTTCATTGTAACGGTGGTGCTACACCGTATACCCAGAACGATATGCCGACTTACAGAGCGCACTCGAACCACTTGACAGGCTTGCGGTCGGCGCCCCACCAGCCATCGCCGTTGCGAAACGACGTATCAAAGTGGTTGATACTCGCCTTGTAGTTGCCGCCGACCTCGGCGTTCGTCGAAAACTCGGTGAAGCCGACGCTGCAACTGTCAAAGGCAACAACGCCGTCGTGGATCGTGTCTTCCGAAAATGCCAACGAGCCAATGACAGCGAGCAGTGCACCGCCCAACGATGCCAAGCCCGACGATTTGGTGCCGCACATGAGCTTGTTGGCGCGCTTCCGGACCGTCTGTGCATCCTTGAACGCCTTCTTCAAGCTCGCGTCGACCGTGTCTTCGGCCTTCATCTGAAGATACGCCTCGGTAGCTGGGCAGTAGCCAAAGAGAGCTCCATCCATGCCGCAGGCTGAACACTGCCGCTCGAGCACATTGGCAGCTTTACTGCCCTGCATCGGACCCGCGATCGAGACCCACGTGACACCGTCCCCGAGCTTGCACACATCATTGGCGACCGCACCGGCGGCGACAAGGTTGCCCATCGAGTATGTCACCAGGATCATGTTGTCGATTGTTTTGTCAGTCGAGTTGCCGATGCTCAGCGCCGTGTTGCAAAACTCGGTCTGCACTTCCGGACGTGTCCAGGCGCGCTTGACCGACTCGTAGTGCGCAAACGCGACGCTCGAACAGCACGGCGCGCTGTTCTGGATATCACCCCAGTCGCTGAACGTCGGCGTCGGTGCCGACGAGTCCTTGTTGCCGACGCCGTGCACAAACAAGCACGGCTTCTTCTTACCCTTGCATGCGCACGTTGCCTCGCCGACATTGGCGCCGGTCACAACAGCAGCCGCTTCCAGAGCGTGAACGCGCAGTGCTGGCACCGGTGCCGTCGTCGTGACCATCGGACACGACAGCGCCGACTGCCCCGGGACGCGAGGAATCGTAAAATCCGGCAGCATCGTCGGGTCGGCAAGGTACTCGATCGTCATGTCGATGTCGGCGCCAACAGCTTTCGTGAGCTGGTTGGTGTTGGAGTTGCAAAAGACAAAACTTCTCGC